CGCTCTTCTACAGCTCTGGCGATCAGGGATTGCTTGCTGGTGGAAAGTAAAGCACTTCCTCCCCCATAATCTTCTGCGGGGAGCTCGTTTTCGACCAAGAAAGTTCTTCTTTCACGCCCAAATCTTTTGCTCTATCAGTTGCGCTGCCACCAGCCGTATTCGCAACACTGAATCCATCGGAACCTCGTGTGTGGTACCAAAGAAACCCTTGAACGCACACACGGTAAATAAATCCGACGTTTTTCCGCCAGACGCACACGTCCTTGGAACAAGCAAGAAACCGGATGCGTTAATCGCCGTACCACATGCGCACCGGCCGTTTCGAATGTCAGCTACAGCAGTGCCTGCACTGAAACTTGCCCAGTTCTCTATGATGCATTCGCAGCATTCTTGAAAATTACTGAGGCTAGTTTCGTGTGGACCCAGAAGCGACAGTTGCGAATTTTTCACCGGGAGTTTTCGACCTGGCACATGAGGCTCTTCAGCGCTTGTCTTTTGCACCGGGATTACGTTGGTTGTTCCAGGGCATGTCGAGGTTGGCAATTTCAAGATGGTAGGAGCGGTAGATGCAATATTCTTGGTGTGATCGCCCACTGCTTCGTGAGCTGAATCATTTAACGACTCCACGTCATGATAAGACTTACGCTGCAACGTCGTCATGAAGGCGTTCATATTTGTTGTAACGATACGTGCAATTTTACAGATCAAGGAATTCATGTGCGAACCGCACGAGGTGCACTTGCTTTGTGCGGCTTCAGCTTTCACACGGTATAGGGTCGCCGATATGTGATCGATCGTTCTCTTCATCTCGTAGATAGTCCTCATCTCGACCGTTGCGAGAGTCCGCTGTAAAGCAGCGTTCATTCGCGATGCTTTCTCCAGCGCTTCCTCCCCTTCGTGAAAGCTGCTAGCAGGGCTGCTCTTGTCGCACTTTCCAAGAGAGCAGGGTGGCTGCGCAGCGCGACATCAGTGACGCGGAAGTTCCCGATGCAAAACTTTCTTGTCACATGTAGGGCAGTTCACAGTGTGAAACTTGCACGCGATGACAAAGTGGTCCAGCATGACGGAAACGGCGTCCTCAGCGTCACAGCCGTTTCCCGCGTTCCAGCAGCGTATCCTCAAGCCGAGAATGGGCGTCCCTCTCGATGAGCATGCGAACTACCTCCTCCTGCCTGAACGCTCGCCTGTCCACGGGGCAATGAGAGCCCATTTGGCTGCTCTGGTAGAAACACGATCCGCAAAGCAAGTGCTTGCAGGGAAGCATGAAGGACGCTGCGGGCAGCAGGCCACACAATGAGCAGAAGTTCTGGCAGCAATTCCGGCACGAATACGGTAGGTCGCCGGTCTAGATCCGCACCGAAGCCCGACAGGCTACGCGCATTCGCAGGTGTCATGGCCGCGTGCACTTTTGGGAGCGATGGTGATTGTGGCCTTGCCATAGGTGCAGCCGCAACGTTCACTAAGCGAGTAGAGGGGGGGGGGGGTACATTGCGATAACCAAAAGCCGTCACCAGCCCACCCTGGTGCCTCAGTCTTTCAATGAATGATGACAAACTACAACACGAGACAATCTTCCGGGTGATCTTTCCGAGTCATCGAGTGCTGCCACACACTTTTCATGTTGTTCGATAAATATTATTTACTTTGTAGGCCTTCCCGTACTCTTTGAAATGTTATCATCAAAAATACCTATTATCATCCCTTTTTTGTTTACTCTTCTGCCTAAGTGAAGTATGCGTTTGGAGATTTTCAACGCGTTTGAGCGAGTTTGCACGCTTGCTATGCAAGTGAATATGCGCTCGAGGGGGCCGTCACTAGCCATGGTGTCCACGCATTAATAGGCGGCATCACATTTGCGAGTACTGTGCCACAGCTCAGCGCTCAACAATTTAGGAATGGCTAAATAAAGACGTCAATCATGGAGTCTCACATATTAAATGGCTTGCGTTCACGTCACTGGAACGGCCCCGTTGGACGTGAATTTCAGGAATTTCGCGTTATTGTTATCATTGCATCACATGCTGTTTTTTTCATTATCATGCCCAGAGGCCCAAGAACGTTCTATCGACGTCGTTATCGCACTGAAATAGGCTGATCACCATGTGCCTATAGGGTATTCACGTCATCTAAGCGGCCAACTTGGAGCCGTGTCGTGCGTCTAAGACGTTACATCCAAGCTATCAGTAAAAAAAAACTAAAAAAGTATGGCTCTAGAGTCTATGAATGCGTACTTTCGACGGCTCTTCAATCACCATGATAATGATCGGAGTTCAGGCTACGAATCTACTTCAGATGCATTTGGTTCTTGGGATTCGTGGTGCTCATTTAGAACGTCTTAAGTTATTCCCGATGAAAATTCACTTCAGTCTTACGTATGTAAAACTTGATACAGAATCGTTGCTTTAAAGTTCAACTGAAATGAAATCTGCACCAGTTTAAGCCCCCATAGTGTGCATTATTCTTCAACTGTGCTTGTGCATCCCCAAGTAAATGAATTACCCGACGTGGTGGCATAGTTGTTATTTTGCTCGGCTGCTGGCCCAAAACTCGTGGGATTCAATCCCAGCCACGACGGCTACCTTTTCGGTGGAAGCGAAAGTGTTTGAGGCCCGGCACTCAGATTTACGACTATGTTAATGAATGCCAGTAGTCGAAATTTCCGGAGCCCTCCCATGCCATGTCCCTCAGTCATCATGGTTTTGTGACGTTAAACCTTAGCAGGTAATACTACGCAATAAATCATATATTTTCTTGAAATTGTGAAAATATGCGTGGCGACACACTGAACGCTACATTTCAGCGCAGCTTTAACGTCTCCATCGTCCTGCTCGGCAGACACCTGCATGCCGCAGAGCGTGCGCGAGGCACTAGCACCACAGCATCACCGGTGGTAGTTTCAAAAAGCAGGCTGCGCCTTTTCCACCCACTTGAGGTTCTTTATTGTGTGCCTATATCTAAATACATAGGCAATTAGCATTTCGCCTCCATTCAAAGGGCGGCGGCAATGACTAGGATTCGATGCCGCTACCTTCTGGTCAGTATTCGAGCAAATCTAACTGCTTAACCACCGTGGCGTGTAGCTCCCATAGCGTCAAGGGTACCAAAAAAAGTGCAATATGATTCGCTCTCAAACTTAGGCAAGTTCTTGATACAACTGAACCGTAAAAAAGCCTTTATAGAAAACGGTGTGTTGCCTATTGCTACAGCCACGTCGACAACTTATTTCCAGAGCTTAATGCAACCAGCCCAACACTAGATGATTAAAAAAAGCCCAAGTCAGACTTTCTATCGCATAACTTGGCAATGACAACACTCTTTACGACTACAGTGGGTAAATGCATGACTGTCACGTGCTGAGGCGAAAGGTGACTAGACGCTACACTGATGATGCGCTCGCGGCAATTTCGCTAGCTTCAAATATGCCAAATTTGGGATTACATGACGCCAATGGTTGACGAAGGTATGTGACTGGTGCAAACATAATATCATGAGATGCGTGTCATTTGAGAACATACTACATGCTACAGTCAAGGCGCCAATACATTTCGACTTGACGTGGTGCGCGTGCTCGCCGGCGTTAATTTTGTCGCGTCACGCCAGCGTTGCCACGCAAGGCGCCGGTCCTGCCATATACTCGCAGGCGCGCGTCACGCGGCGTTGCTTTGACACATGCGCGTTTCAGCGCGTCCGGTGTCCCTCTGTCACGAAAAGAGGAAGACGCAGGGTTGTCTGGGTAATGCATCCGCGCGAAATGCAGCATGTCGCTTTTTGCAGTTGTTGCCGTCGGGCCCCTCCGACGGACGCTGATCGCGCTCGGCGTCAGACTAAAGAGTGCTCGCGTTTTGCTAACGTAGCGTCGCTGTGCCCAGCGTGCGCGCGCGTCAACGCGACATTGGAGTATAGTGGGCCCTTTATGATGTGGTGGTGGCCATTTTGCTAGCTCCACATATACCAAATTTGGTGTTACGTGACATCAAGGGATGACGAAATATATGACTGGTGCAAACATGATAATCTGACACGCGTGTCAAGTAGAACATGACAACATACCACGCTCATAGCGTGCTCGCGGCCGTTTCGCTAGCTCCAGATATTCTAAATTTGCTATCCTGTCACGTGAATAGATGACGAAGGTAAACGACGCATCCAAACATGATAATCATGACACGGAAGTCATGTACGGCATCATTTACCTCCGCCTCGTAACGTTGTGCTGATTTGAAGGTGGCATATCAACATTTCTCATTCGTGCTTCGCATATCATCGATTCCCACTGTAATTGGATTCTGCCAATTTTTAAAAAAATTTTAAGATAGATTACGTGCTTATACAACTGCTATGTTCACACTCAGATATTACAGAAGTATCTAAATTTATAGCGGCAGATTTTATGTGTAGTACTTCGCGTCATGGCTTGCCTGGTATGTCAAAACAATGTAGATTGTCTTCGTCGGTGTCTCTCAAGACACTCACAACCAAGCTAGTTTGTGGATGCAAATGATGAAGTCGATAGATTTCCTCAAGAATCATGCGCACATGTTCGAAAGAAAAGTCGTGTTCAATCTGTGTGATATTGTTCCGAGTCATTCGATATAGCACTTATTACAGCCGGGTGTTTTCTTTGTAAAGAGAAAGGCTGCTCAACACCCATCGTCTGTAATTGTTGGGCTACGTTTAACGTGCATATGTTGACATTTGCATCACACTAAAGCATAGGCCTCAAGATATCAAGTTTAAGGCTGTGAAATCCTTGTAAAACACTTAACAAAAGGTCTGCTACATACGCACTGGTATATTTCACTTAATTACTGCATTAGATGGGCAACGATTTCGGAAAAAGTTGCAACGCCGTATGGCGAATTCACATTCCTATGTGTGGGTGGTTGTTAGCCAGTGCGCCCTCACGCTTAACTTCACCACTAGAGGAAGTGCGCCGCAGCTTGTTTGGAAGATTCAATGGTTCCGAGAGGCTTCGCTTGAGATGGGATTGAACATGTGGATTCGTTTGCCTAATTCTTTATTCCACTTACATATGCTGCTAGATATGCAAGGCCAGCTTAATAACACGTAATTGAGCACATCATGTAGTCATCCTAGGCCGACAAAAATGAATGTCTCGTCCATGAAATAGCAGTCACTTCACGCATGCGCATGGGTCAAGCTGCTGACTATTGCCATCGCTTTCTATAAGCGAAAGCAAACAAGTAGGAGTTTCTTCACCGGATACGTACACAGGGTGGTTTTTAATGAGCAGGATGTGATGAGATGATACTTGAGGCTCGGCCAGTGCTACGAAACCAATCAGCTACCAACGTGTCACGCTGAAACGTAGCTGAACTTTGTCGTCCGAGACAAAGCCACGCTCTTCTACAGCTCTGGCGATCAGGGATTGCTTGCTGGTGGAAAAGTAAAGCACTTCCTCCCCCATAATCTTCTGCGGGGAGCTCGTTTTCGACCAAGAAAGTTCTTCTTTCACGCCCAAATCTTTTGCTCTATCAGTTGCGCTGCCAACCAGCCGTATTCGCAACACTGAATCCATCGGAACCTCGTGTGTGGTACCAAAGAAACCCTTGAACGCACACACGGTGAAATAAATCCGACGTTTTCCGCCAGACGCACACGTCCTTGGAACAAGCAAGAAACCGTATGCGTTAATCGCCGTACCACATGCGCACCGGCCGTTTCGAATGTCAGCTACAGCAGTGCCTGCACTGAAACTTGCCCAGTTCTCTATGATGCATTCGCAGCATTCTTGAAAATTACTGAGGCTAGTTTCGTGTGGACCCAGAAGCGACAGTTGCGAATTTTTCACCGGGAGTTTTCGACCTGGCACATGAGGCTCTTCAGCGCTTGTCTTTTGCACCGGGATTACGTTGGTTGTTCCAGGGCATGTCGAGGTTGGCAATTTCAAGATGGTAGGAGCGGTAGATGCAATATTCTTGGTGTGATCGCCCACTGCTTCGTGAGCTGAATCATTTAACGACTCCACGTCATGATAAGACTTACGCTGCAACGTCGTCATGAAGGCGTTCATATTTGTTGTAACGATACGTGCAATTTTACAGATCAAGGAATTCATGTGCGAACCGCACGAGGTGCACTTGCTTTGTGCGGCTTCAGCTTTCACACGGTATAGGGTCGCCGATATGTGATCGATCGTTCTCTTCATCTCGTAGATAGTCCTCATCTCGACCGTTGCGAGATTCCGCTGTAAAGCAGCGTTCATTCGCGATGCTTTCTCCAGCTCTTCCTCCCCTTCGTGAAAGCTGCTAGCAGGGCTGCTCTTGTCGCACTTTCCAAGAGAGCAGGTGGCTGCGCAGCGCGACATCACGTGACGCGGAAGTTCCCGATGCAAAACTTTCTTGTCACATGTAGGGCAGTTCACAGTGTGAAACTTGCACGCGATGACAAAGTGGTCCAGCATGACGGAAACGGCGTCCTCAGCGGCACAGCCGTTTCCCGCGTTCCAGCAGCGTATCCTCAAGCCGAGAATGGCGTCCCTCTCGATGAGCATGCGAACTACCTCCTCCTGCCTGAACGCTCGCCTGTCCACGGGGCAATGATAGCCCATTTGGCTGCTCTGGTAGAAACACGATCCGCAAAGCAAGTGCTTGCAGGGAAGCATGAAGGACGCTGCGGGCAGCAGGCCACACAATGAGCAGAAGTTTCTGGCAGGCAATTCCGGCACGAATACGGTAGGTCGCCGGTCTAGATCCGCACCGAAGCCCGACAGGCTACGCGCATTCGCAGGTGTCATGGCCGCGTGCACTTTTGGGAGCGATGGTGATTGTGGCCTTGCATAGGTGCAGCCGCAACGTTCACTAAGCGAGTAGAGGGGGGGGGGGGGTACATTGCGATAACCAAAAGCCGTCACCAGCGCCACCCTGGTGCCTCAGTCTTTCAATGAATGATGAACAAACTACAACACGAGACAATCTTCCGGGTGATCTTTCCGAGTCATCGAGTGCTGCCACACACTTTTTCATGTTGTTCGATAAATATTATTTACTTTGTAGGCCTTCCCGTACTCTTTGAAATGTTATCATCAAAAATACCTATTATCATCCCTTTTTTGTTTACTCTTCTGCCTAAGTGAAGTACTTATATACTGATGAAAAACATAACAGCGCATGCGCCGATTATGTAGGATACTCGTTATTTTGCGTTGGATGCGCAGAGTAACGCCCCAGTACGAGGTTGCCACTATTCCGTCTTTTCAAGGCATCGTAATCTTTTGTGACTTCACTTTTCCCTCTCCTAGAATATAAAGGTCGTCCCTGAAATAATGACATGAAGTTGTTTTATTGAATTCGTTTTTCTGTTTATTCTTCAAGAATGCGTTTGGAGCGTAGTTTGCACGCTTTGCTATTCAAGTGAAATATCGCTCGAGGGGGCCGTCACTAGCCATGGTGTCCACGCATTAATAGGCGGCATCACATTTGCGAGTACTGTGCCACAGATGCAGCGCTCAACAATTTAAGGAATGGCTAAATAAAGACGTCAATCATGGAGTCTCACATATTAAATGGCTTGCGTTCACGTCACTGGAACGGCCCCGTTGGACGTGAATTTCAGGAATTTCGCGTTATTGTTATCATTGCATCACATGCTGTTTTTTTCATTATTCATGCCCAGAGGCCCAAGAACGTTCTATCGACGTCGTTATCGCACTGAAATAGGCTGATCACCATGTGCCTATAGGGTATTCACGTCATCTAAGCGGCCAACTTGGAGCCGTGTCGTGCGTCTAAGACGTTACATCCAAGCTATCAGTAAAAAAAAACTAAAAAAGTATGGCTCTAGAGTCTATGAATGCGTACTTTCGACGGCTCTTCAATCACCATGATAATGATCGGAGTTCAGGCTACGAATCTACTTCAGATGCATTTGGTTCTTGGGATTCGTGGTGCTCATTTAGAACGTCTTAAGTTATTCCCGATGAAAATTCACTTCAGTCTTACGTATGTAAAACTTGATACAGAATGCTTGCTTTAAAGTTCAACTGAAATGAAATCTGCACCAGTTTAAGCCCCCATAGTGTGCATTATTCTTCAACTGTGCTTGTGCATCCCCAAGTAAATGAATTACCCGACGTGGTGGCATAGTTGTTATTTTGCTCGGCTGCTGGCCCAAAACTCGTGGGATTCAATCCCAGCCACGACGGCTACCTTTTCGGTGGAAGCGAAAGTGTTTGAGGCCCGGGCACTCAGATTTACGACTATGTTAATGAATGCCAGTAGGTCGAAATTTCCGGAGCCCTCCCATGCCATGTCCCTCATAGTCAATCAGTGGTTTTGTGACGTTAAACCTTAGCAGGTAATACTACGCAATAAATCATATATTTTCTTGAAATTGTGAAAATATGCGTGGCGACACACTGAACGCTACATTTCAGCGCAGCTTTAACGTCTCCATCGTCCTGCTCGGCAAGACACGGCTGCATGCCGCAGAGCGTGCGCGAGGCACTAGCACCACAGCATCACCGGTGGTAGTTTCAAAAAGCAGGCTGCGCCTTTTCCACCACTTGAGGTTCTTTATTGTGTGCCTATATCTAAATACATAGGCAATTAGCATTTTCGCCTCCATTCAAAGGGCGGCGGCAATGACTAGGATTCGATGCCGCTACCTTCTGGTCAGTATTCGAGCAAATCTAACTGCTTAACCACCGTGGCGTGTAGCTCCCATAGCGTCAAGGGTACCAAAAAAAGTGCAATATGATTCGCTCTCAAACTTAGGCAAGTTCTTGATACAACTGAAATACCGTAAAAAAGCCTTTATAGAAAACGGTGTGTTGCCTATTGCTACAGCCACGTCGACAACTTATTTCCAGAGCTTAATGCAACCAGCCCAACACTAGATGATTAAAAAAAAGCCCAAGTCAGACTTTCTATCGCATAACTTGGCAATGACAACACTCTTTACGACTACAGTGGGTAAATGCATGACTGTCAACGTGCTGAGGCGAAAGGTGACTAGAGAAGTCACTGGACCACGCCGCTACTACCATGTGCCTCCTGTTGACAAAAAGAGAAAGATGTCATGAACGTCTACAGTAACCACATTAGAAAACACAGACTGCAGCATACAACAAGAATGTCTGTTGCGAGGAGGACCTCACAGTCATCCAGATAGTTCGTGCTTCACAAGATGATACACAGTTCACTATCACTTCAGTGAACTTCAAGGGACCCAAGGACATAGCTCATTTAAGCGAGAATTCGCTAAACTTAATATTCACCAGAATACGGAACAATTAGCACTTCAGAGAGAGAGAGGAAGGGAGAGAAATAAATGGAAGATACAAGGTTAACATACAAGAACTGGTTTTCTGCCCTGTATAGCGGTGGGGAAATAAGGGTCGAAAAGAGGATAGAGGTAAAGAGATACAAAAGAAATTAGGAAAAAAATTCCATGCACATACAGGGCGTTCCAATCACAGTCGTTTGGAGAGGCCGCTTGAACGAAAGAAGCGCAGGAGTGCCTTCACAGGCTTCTTCTGCGACTTGAAGTCCTGTCGGTATCACAGGATTCTTCCTTCTGAAAAGGTCTAGTTGTCTAGTTCGTCTAGTGCATTACAAAGTGACTGTCTCTGCGAGCAGTATTGTGGGCATTCACGGAGAATGTGCCAAGTTGTTTCGTCACTGCCGCTGTGGTCTAATGCAGCAGCGCCCACCATTCTTATGCGGAACGCGTACGTATTGGTAAATGCGATACCCAACCATAATCAGCACAGCATAGTAGCGTCTCGTCGGCGAAGTTCTGGAAATATTCCAAAGCTGAGAGTTGGGTCTAAGGTACATAATCGTACGTGCGTGGAATGCGACTCGTTTCATTGCGACGTGGTGCACTTGCTAGCAAGCATGTGGAGTTTCCGCACAGCGTCAGTTCTGGAGAGCGGAATCGATATTTGATCGCTTTCAGTATGGGAAGAACTAGCAGCTCGATTGGCCCGTTCATTACCAATTATTCCGCAATGACTTGAAAGCCATTGAAAGGCTATTTCATGTCCTATCTCAATGAAATGGTGAGTCTTTTCTGAAATGTCGAATACCAGTTGTTCGTACGGGCCATGGCGTAAAGGTGATAGAAGGGATTGCCGTGCCGCCTTGGAGTCACTGAAAATTGTCGATTTTTGTGACTGCTGATCGCTGATATATTGCAATGCAGCACGAAGAGCTGTGAGCTCCGCTCCCGTTGATGTCGTAAGGTGGGAGGTCTTGAATTTTCTTGTCGTGTCTTTTATTGTTATAACAAATGATGCCGTTGTACTCTTCTGTAAAACAGGGCCGTCAGTGTATATGTGTGCACAGCCTTGATACGTCTCGTATAACAAGAGCAGAGCAAGCTTCCTAAGAGCAGGTGACGACATATCTGCTTTTTTCTGGATCCCAGGTATAATTAGCCTGATGTTAGCCTGAGTCAGGCACCAAGGAGGAGTCGAAGGCCTGGCGGCGGGTGTGAAGCATGTTGGCAAGGAGTCGCGATACGTGATTATCATTTGGCACAAAAGACGAACGTCGTCTGTCTGCTGGTAAATAGGCTAGGTGGTGGCAGGGTGTCCGAGCAATAGGCCTTATATGTGTACTGAGTGCTTCAACGTCAATATGTGTCGTGATGAGGTGGTCACCGGTGATTGCTAAACAAGCTATTGTCGACGCACTACGAGGCAAGCCGAGACATATCCGGATTGCCTGGGACTGAACACTCTGTAACGTTATTAGGCTTGTTTTGCTTGCATTGGTCAATGCCAGTAAGCTGTACCGCAGGAAACCGAGAAAAAGTACCCTGTACAGATGTAGCATTGCACTGGGTGACATTCCCAAGTCTTTTCTGAAAAGAACTTCACTAGATTCCAGATGTCTGTTGACCGTTTTTTTTTTCATTTATGAAACGTGATCACTCCATGATAGATTCCTGTCAATTATGACGCCCAAAACCTTGTGTGATCGAACGTATCAAATGAAACGTGCAGACGTGGGAAATGTACCTTTCTTTTCGTAATTTTCATTTGTAATAGCACCCTTAAAGTGAAGGAAGAAACAAACCTGTCAGGAGCTCATTGAGAGAAAGTTGTTAACGATTTACGTTTTTGTGCACTTCCTTCCTTTGGCACAGCTTGCCGCTGTGACTCAAAGTCTCGCAACGCTCTAATATGTCCTACAGCCTTGGCTAGATTTATGTAGATCCTAAATTTTGTCTCACACCCATCGTGGGGAATCGGCCAAGAATCAAGTAGGTTAAAAAATAATATATATATATATATATATATATATATATATATATATATATATATATATATATTGTAATGTAAATGTGAAGAAAGAAAAGTGTGTGAGAAGATAACTTGCCGTGAGCAAGATCCAAACCTGCGACCTTCGTTCGAATAACGCGTTCGATGCTCTCCCACAGAGCTACCCCGGCGGCTATTCCCCCAGTCACTTCATTGGGTTTATAGACGAATTTAAATGTGGGATGTCAATTAGTGCCACCAGCGAGTGTGGCACACCCATTATGAGCCTGTTTGGCGTCACGTAGCATGTGAACTTATTACAAGCTGGCTGCTGACTAATAGTCCCTCGTATACGGCACCTATATATATATATATATATATATATATATATATATATATATATATATATATATATATATATATATATATATATATATATATATATATATATATATATATATATATATATATATATATATATATATATATATTGTACCGAAGCATAGTGGCATTCCAGAAACGTTAGCCGCAACAAGCTTGTACAAGC